TATGTATATATATATATGTATATATATATATACATATATATATATATATATATATATATATATATATATATATATATATATATTTTGAGTTTGAATATTGACAATTACTTGACTCTATGCTATAAAAGTTTTATTTCTCATAAATATCTTAGTATTAGCGTGAATGATTTACATTTAATCGAATCGAAATAAAAATTAATCAAAATACACATAAAATTGACCTAAACACACCTAATTGTTAAAAAAAAAAAAGTGTCCGGATCATGCGTAAGTGCACTTGAATTAATCTAACAATTACTCGGATAGTTGGATGTCATTCTTGTTGGCCCACGTTGAAGTGACATGTTTAGGATAATGCCACGACGGATCAATGTGACAAACTATCAATACTGAATAGCTGACCTAAATTTTCGGTGAAAGCAACACAAACAGAGGGTGGCAGTCCGCCAAGATCATAGGAGAGATTATGGGGAAAAAGTGATAGATTCTTTGTGGAATACTTCATTTATCCGTGTCCTACGTTGTTTTTCAATAGCGAAGCCCTCCTTGCCCTTGTACACTGGGGCTTAGTTTGGTCGTCATATTTGATTGGTATATGGCTAAAAAAGGGTTTGAATTACTAATTCCTCATAACAGATAAAAATATAAAATTTAATAGGAATAATAATACCTTATATTTCAATCCTATGAATGGTATGGCACAGTATTAAAAGTCAATAATAGTTATGATCGATAGGAAATTATCACAAAAGTGATAAAAATACTCAAAAATTATGAAATAATGGTACGGCACTAGATTTTTATTTTTATTTTTTAGTACCGTAGACTTCTCCTAATAGTTATAACTCTTCTCTAATCACTGATCTTGTATACTAATCTGGCATGGAGCCAAAAAACATAATTTCCCCATATCAACCATGAATAATGAAATTAAATGAGACTAAAACCTAACAATGCCAACCCATTTCACAAAGTCCATGTCAAAACTACCAAGTAGGATTGTCCACAATAGGTTGTTCTACTTGGGATTTGGGTTTAACTGAAACTGATTCAAAGACTAAGGCAAGATTTGGTGACCAGTCGAACCACCAGGTACTTACCAAAAATAGATTTCAAGACTAAGGTTAGGTTTGGAGAGTCCTTATTGAGCAAGTTTGCGGGTGAGTCCGAGGTAGGTGACCTGCATAGCATTTCGTGGGCCTGTTGTAACTTTGAATATATCGTGCAAGACAATATATAACCCTTTGTTATATTGCACTGGACATTGTAAACAATGCTACATTACCTTGCATAGCTTATTGCTGGCCAATGAATTGACAACTAACCATGTCTTTCCAAATTGTCATCTAATCAAAGTTAAGGTGATTTCCTTGAAGGTATAATCAAACAATAAGACGATATGCAATTACATTACCCAATTTGTTCCTCGCTAATTGGATGTGTTGGTGCTGGGACAATAGTCTGAGTACGATCTAAATCTTTGGCAATATTAGCAAAAAGCTATTATTCTCAGATTTGAACACACAACTGTATAATTGTTACCTATGCTTTTATTATTGCGGTGTACAATGACCCATAAAGGTGACGGTTTTGTAGTATTCTAAAAGTTTCATATAATTTTCTTTGTAACTGGATTATCGTAGTCGAAAAACGGTGCAATAACATTTCCCGATATATGTAAGTCCAACCTAACACATTTCGTCAATTACAATGGAACATAGATTAAGACAGACTGGACCATGACACCAACCGTCTGCAGACAAAAAGACCATTCCTGCATATTCTGAACCGTTTTACAATGTGAACCCCTTTTTTGATATTGTGATTTGCAGCCTTCAAGCAACGGGCAGTAATGTCATTTCACTAGACAAAAGACCAGGAAGAGAAACAAATAAAACTAACATCAACTACCTTCTTTGTAACTGTCAGCAATCAACATCGAGTTAAACCATTAGTTGTCTTTTTCACTCTCCCTACAGCTATCTCCAATGGTCCAGTCTTCTCTGTTCTTTTCTTCTTCCTTCTCTATCAGATTTTCCACAAAAAAGCTTACTCTACTTCTGATTCTTAACCAACATTTAGAACTGCAAGCAGACTACTAATCACAGCTGCAAAAATGTCCGTCAAAGATCGAACAATTATCAAGGCTGTTGCAGCCACAGCTGCAAGCACTTTACTAATATGTGGGATCTTCTTCTATTTCTTTTATAGATTTGCCATGGCTCGGCAGCGCCAACGAAATAAATACCCTTCGATTTTTTGTCGAGCAGAAGCAATGGTGACTCGCAACGAGTTCAGGCAACAAGAGAGTACTTTGAAAGGGGTGATTGTGGACGAGATTGGGGTGGATGTTCTCTATTTAAGGAAGAAACATGAAGGTGGGCAATTGAGTGGTAGTTTCTCCAAGGTGGGGTTTAATTCTGAGCAAGAAGAAGAAAAGAGGGTTGACAGTAGATTAGATAAACACAAAACATATGAACCGATCCATGAAATTCCTTTGCTTCATGAGCCATCCCACAAAGTTGATATTGAAGCAAAAGCAGTTCCAACACTAACCAGACTGCTGTCCCCAGCGTCAGGACAGATGCAACCCAGATTACCACCACCAGATCCTCAGCCTGCATTCTTGCTGCATCCATTGGTTATTCCAATGCAAAAAACGCCACCACCGCCACCTCCTCCTCCGCCACCACCCATCCCTTCTAAGCAAATTCCCAAACCACCTCTGCCACCACTAACTTCAGCAAAAAGAAACCCTGCACCACCAACTCAGGTAGGTGGTTTAGTTTCATCATTGAAACCCCCTACTGCACCAAGAGGGAGAGAGTCGAGAAACAGCAACAATAGCAGGACAGAGGCTTCAACCGGAGAAAGCACTAAAGGGAATGGTGAAATCCAATTGAAGATGCAACCACTGCACTGGGATAAGGTTATTGCCAATGCTAACCATTCACTGGTCTGGGATGATATCAATCATGGCTCTTTCCGGTAAGTGGGACTTGTAATCCTTACAAATTTGACATTTTTCCTGCTCTCACTTTGCATTCCTACAATGACTGAAATTTCTACATATTGTAACTGATCTAATGTATCTATCAGATTTGACGACGAACTTTTAGAAACTCTGTTTGGATACACTGCCACCAACCGAAACTCTGAAAGAAGTAATGTATTGTCAACTTCAGGTAGTTCCAACTCAGTGCAGCCTACTCAAATTTTCATTCTTGATCCTCGGAAGTCCCAAAACACAGCAATTGTACTCAAATCTCTTGCAATCTCTCGCAAAGAAATCCTGGATGCCCTCCTCGAGGGTCGAGGACTTGATGCTGATACTCTTGAGAAGCTAACAAAAATTTCCCCAACCCAAGAAGAAGCAGCCAAAATTCTTCAATTTAATGGAAACCCAACAAAACTTGCTGATGCTGAATCTTTCCTCTACCAGATCCTGAAAGCTGTTCCCTCAGCATCTGTTCATACCAGTGCAATGCTTTTCAGATCAAATTATGACCCAGAAATCCTTCATCTCAAGGAGTCTCTGCAAACCCTTGAACTAGGATGCAAGGAATTGAGAACTCGGGGGATTTTCTTAAAACTTCTTGAAGCCATCCTCAAGACCGGTAATCGAATGAACGCTGGAACTGCCAGAGGAAATGCACAAGGCTTCAACCTGAGTTCTCTTCAAAAACTTTCCAACGTGAAAAGCACTGATGGAAAGACTACTCTCCTTCACTTTGTTGTGGAACAAGTAGTTCGATCTGAGGGCAAACGTTGTGTGATCCATCGAAACCATGACCTAAGCAGAGGTAATAGCCAAAGCAGCAAAAATAGTGACCACCATTCAAATAGCCTGACAGCCAAGGAAGTGAGAGAGAAAGAGTATCTATTGCTCGGGTTACCAGTATTAGGAGGCTTAAGTACTGAGTTCTCTAACGTGAAGAAAGCAGCCTCTATAGACTATGACAGTTTCATCAATAAATGCTCCTCTCTCACGGGCCGTGTCACTGAAATTCGGCAGCTTGTGGCACAATGTAGCAGTAGTGGAAGAGGTGGATTTGTAAGGGAAATGAAAGGATTTCTAGAGGAATGCGAAGAGGAGCTTAAGGTAGTGAGAGAGGAACAAACAAGGGTAATGGAGCTCGTGAAAAGAACAACAGAATATTACCAAGCAGGAGTGTTCAAGGACAAAGGAACACACCTTCTTCAGATTTTCGTTGTTGTTAAGGATTTTCTGGGCATGGTTGATCAAGTTTGCATTGACATCACAAGGACGCTTCAGAAGAGGAATATGAACAATGTGGCGACTTCACTGCCACTGTCGCCACCAACAAGGACTCTAGTAAGGTTCCAAAACTTGCAGGCTTATTTTACACCTGAAAAGCCTGGGATGTCATCATCTAGTGAATCAGAGGATGATTTCTGAAGAGGTTTTGTCATGATTCTGTGGGAGCATGACTGAAGCAGAAAGACCAGAAGAGGAGGGATTGAATTCGTTTGTAAAGGGTAATATAGGAATTTGAAATTTCCTGGATTTAATTGGTTTGCTGTTCTAGTCTTTTCTTGAGCATGAAAGTCAAAGGAGACTGTTGTATTTGAATATAATGCCATGCTGACGATCATAAATTTGTGTCCTCATCCATCTCCAAACAAAAAACAATTGATGACCATAAAATTAAGGAATAAATTATCCTAATGTGAGCTGAATATAGGCAAAGGGTCCAGCATAAAGGACAGAAGGGTCCAGCACGAGTAAGAAAGTGTAGCCCGAGGTTGCTCCTGAACAACTAACCTATTACATATAAGAGTTAAAATCTCCCATATCAGAAAACATAGATTGCACAAGTTCAGGTGAAAGCTTCAATTTCACATCAAATAAGTATAATAGGGGTACTTAATACAGTCTTAGGTCAGGTGGGTGAACTGAAAGCTGAAATGTACACGATCAATATGTTCTGCTGTGAGATGGAAAAGGCACATCAAATGTATGGAAGATGGGATGATACGACACGGCAAAGAAAAAATAACCATTCCAATTCTAAAGTGATTAGCTTGCCGATACTTGAGTATTGAGGGCTTTTCCATCGAGAATTGAATGGAGTTTTCCCATATTTTACCATAATTTCTTTGAATGGATTCCCTGGGATAGGTCCTTGTTCATCTTTGCAATAACACCAACCTTCTTAAGATCACTAACCAAGGAATTAGTCAATAATGCATATCATCCAACTAGTTTTCTCTTGTTCGGTACCAACTAGTTCTGACTGTTGAGAGATCTTCAGTCCATAAAAGATTTATGGCATCCTGAACCCACCATTTCAAAAAGGCCGACATAGATGGCCAATTTCCTAAAACTTTTGAAGAGCTCTTTAGGTGATATCAGTAAAGCATATAGCCAATTTTGCTCGGGGATTGTGTTTCCAAGTTCCAATTAAAGAAATTTGGACAAATAAACAGCACGGGGGCACAAGTACTTTGAATCTTCGTCAATGGGATTTGAGTTTGCCTGACACCAGCACTACCCTTGGTGAAAATGAGTGTAGAGCGTTTCCCTTTTGATTGAGTCTACCATGAAAGAAAGAGTGTTGCCCTTGCGGGTGCACCCAACTTATCAAACTTTCCAAATCTTTCTTTAACTATCATTTCTTCTACCATTAATGATTTAATGACTACCTTAATGACTACCTCTATCTCACAAAACCTTCTTAAAAAGTTCCTCCAACCCCAAATTTTCACTTTTCAAACTAGTAATTTATATAGATTTCCCTAAACAATATGCATTAAAGCCATTGATGCACAAAATGTAGAGGTGAAGTCCCTAGTTGCCAGTGACAAATTCTAAGCAGAAATCAAAATCTAACGGTGGCTTTCAGTTGTCCCAACAATTGAGAAATATTTACATAACAATGACTATATGAATACGAAAATCAAATGATATCGACCTCAACCACATTAGCAGGAGGCAGAAATGGAAAAATCGGATCAGTTCAGAGTTGAAAACTTACATGTTTTCAGAGGATGCTCAGTCTATTACGCTCATTCACCTCTGCATCGGTTGCTTTGGTTTCTCGAAGCAGATATAGAGGCAGTGGATGAGCGAAATCGAGTCTGAAATTAGATATGGGGAGGACGATCGCTTTAGGGCAAAATTGCTTAAAAATCGGATTTTAAGCACTGCACTGCGAACCATTAGGTTTATTTGACCCGGACGGTTCATTAATTTTTGCTAAAACCGACCGGCTTTACGGTCCGCAATTCGTCTGCACAGACGATCCACTGGGAACAACCTTGAAAGCCGGAACGGAATTAGAATTTTATTTTAAGAGGGGGATAACAATGATATTGACAAAAATTTAATTTAATGAGATTATTCAATAGTTATTGTCAATGATAAATTTTTATTTATAAAAGATCTTTTAAATTTAATTTGTATACAATGACTTCAAAAAAATTATTTTTGAGCACAAAATTCAAAATCATAAAAATTTATTTGTGATTATATTCTCTTTTTTTACTTATTTATAATGTAATCTTATGTTTATAAATAAATCAAGGTCGCAAATAATAGTTTTATATGATACCATAATAAAAATAAATTGTAAGCCAACCAACTGCTTTTAATGTAATCATATTTGTATTCATATATTTTTTTTTTATATAAAAAGTCACTTGTTTTTTTTCTACATTATCAAAATAATCCAACAAGTATTTTCGTCAGTATAAACGATACTCATCCATGTGATACATCCTAAACAGTAACTAAATATTAAGTCATTGATCTTTTACACATTGATTGTTTTTAAAAGTTAGAGGTTAATTTTTTTTAAATATAGGGGCATAATAAGAATTTTCAAAATTTGAGGAGCGCCACAGTTCCGTCTCTGGTGAATGCCCGGTTCTGATAACACTAATGGAGGTTCTGTTGCCATCGCATTGCGTCACCAAAATAATTAATAAATAAATCTTATATAATATAATAATTATATTATGCACGTAAGAGTAATGATATAGTACCATCGTTACATTCAATATTTATTTGTTCTCGATGGCTCAAAATCAATTGTTTATGTTTGATAAATGTGTACAAAAAAAAATTATTACCACCTCAAAAAAAGAAAATTTTAGTTTGAACTATTGGTGATTATTGAATTTAAAAATTAAAAATAAATAAAACTATTAAAAAATTTACACGTATCGTATTTTCATTGAATAAACAATAAAAAATATAATACTGAACAATAATTCTTGCATACCATAGTTAAAAGTTAAAACCGCAATCTAAGATATCCAAACCATTTGAAACATTAATTTTTTTTTTTGTTTTCTCCTCCGAAATTACATAGAAATCACACGATAATGTTTTATATATTATTTAACTTGATTTTATATTATGAATCACTTTTACTCAAAGGATATCAATATATAGATCAAGTTGGCATAAACTTGTAGGCAATAATATTATTTAAACATAATTTATTGAATTAATCTATTATAATTATCAGCTTGACATTTATCTAGCATTATATCTGGTATGAAGGAAAGAGGAGGAGGAGGAGGAGGAGGAGAGGG